GAATCCATGAAGTAGCAGGAGAAAGTACGAATGACATTAAAAAAAAAAAACTGTTCACAGACTTAATGACAGAAAACTTCCCAAACAGAGAGGAAGAATTTGACATACAGATAAGCGAGGCATATATAACTCCAAATAGCCATGATCAAAAACATTTACACCTAGACATATAATAATCAAGATCCCAGAAACCCAACAGAAGAACAAAATACTACAAGCAGTAAGAGAAAAGAAACAAATCACATGCAAAGGAAAGCCCATTGGAATCACAGCAGACTTTTGAACACAAACCCTCAAGTCAAGAAGAGCTTGGAGTGAGGTACCAAGTCCTAAAAGAAAGCAACTTCTGACCTAAACTGATGTATCTTGCAAAACTATCTTTCAAAAGATGGGGAAATAAGATACTTCCATAACAAAGAACACCTGAGAAATTTCATGAACACCAAACCGGCATTCTACACACTTCTAAATAATATACTGGAAAAATAAAATGAAGGGCACAACTCCATAAGGACAAACAGAGCAAATATACCAGGCAAGGTAAGAAATTATAAGGGAGAGGGGAAAAATTTTTTAAAAAAAGAACAACAGGAAAATAACATGACAATGAAAAGCCAATATATAACAGTTATAACCATCAATGTTAATAGCCTCAATTCACCAATCAAAAGAAACAGGCTCTTAGAATGGAGTAAGAAGCAAAATCTAACAATATGCTGTATACAAGAAACCCAATTAATCCACAAAGAAATTCATAAACTGAGAGTAAAAAGGATGAAAAACAGTTCTCCATGTGACAGGAGACCAGAAAAAAGTGGGATAGCTATCATTTGCAGAAAGAGTAGATTTCAAGCCAAAACTAATTAAGAGAGACAAAGAAGGCCACTACATCCTCGTAAATTGAAAAATACAAGAGGAATAAATGACAATCATAAATATATATGCACCAAATACTAATGCCAACTATACAAAATAAATATTAATGGATATGAAAAATGAAATAAGCACTAATACAGTTGTAGTGGGGACCTCAATACTCCACTGACACAAATAGGCAGATCATCTAGACAAAAAAATCAACAAAGTAACAGAACTGAATCAAGTTTTTAGAACAAAGGAACTTAGTAGATGTCCACAGAGTGTTCCCACCCCACAAAATAAGAATATACATTCTTTTCAGCTGCACACGGGTCATTCTCCAAAACAGACAACATGCTAGCTCATAAAACATGCTTAAGTAAATTCAAAGGAGTTGAAGGTATGCCCTGTATTTTATCAGGCCATACTGCAATTAAACTGGAGATCAACAGCTTAAAAAAACGCAAGAACTTCACAAACACATGGAAATTAAATAACACCCTGCTGAACAACCATTGGGTCACAGAGGAAATTAAAGAAGAAATTAGACAGTTTCTACAATCAAATGATAATGCCAATACAACATACAGAAATCTATGGGACACAGTGAAAGCAGTTCTATGAGGGAAATTCATAGCAGTAAATGCCCATACTAGGAAAACAGAGTGAGCTCAAATAAACAACCTAATGGTTAACCTTAGGCTCCTAGAAAAAGAAGAGCAAGACAAACTGAAAGCCTGTACAAGGGAGGAAATTATAAATATCAGAGCAGAAAGCAATGCAATGGAGACTAAGAGAATGATAAAAAAAAAAATCAATGAACTGAAGAGTTGGTTTTTTGAAAGAATAAATAAAATTGATAAACCTTTAGCCAACCTTATCAAAAAGAGAAAAGAAAAGGCTCAAATTCATGCAATTAGGATGAAAAAGGTGAAGTTACAACAGATGCACTAGAAATCCAGAGGATCAATACCTACTTTGAAAGCCTGTACCCTAATAAAATGGAAAACACAGAAGAAATGGACAGATTCCTAAATACATATAAACTTCCAAAGTTGATGAAGAAGATATAAAAAGTCTAAGCATCACAATTACATTCAGTGAAATTTAAAATGTAATTAAAATACTACCAATAAAGAAAAGCCCAGGTCCTGATGGCTTCAATGATAAATTTTATAAAACATTTAGAGAAGAACTATCACAACTACTCTTCAAATTCTTCCATGAAATTGAAAGGGAAGCAATACTTCCAAATTCATTCCTGGAAACAAGTGTTACTTTGATTCCAAAACCAGGAAAGACCCAACCAAAAAAGAGATCTACAGGCCAATCTCCCTAATGAATATAGATGCAAAAATCCTCAATAAGATATTGACAAACAGAATACAGAAGATCATCAAGATCATACATCCTGGCCAAGTTGGATTTATTCCAGGGATGCAAGGATGGTTTAACATATGTAAATCAATAAATACAACACACTGTATTAACAGAAATAAGGGCAAAAACTATATTATCATCTCAATAGATCCAGAAAAAACATTTGAAAAAATTCAACACACATTCATGATAAAAACCCTACAGAAAGTTGAAATAGATGGTCTTTATCTCAACCTGATAAAGGCTATCTAAGAAAAACCAATAGCCAACATCATTGTAAATGGTCAAAAACTAAAACCCATCACGTTAAAATCAGGAACAAGACAAGGATGTCCACTGTCACCACTCTTGTTCAATATAGCTCTAGAAACATTAGCCATAGCAATTAGACAAGAGAAAGAAAGGTCACCTGGAGTTTTTCCTTATAGGGAGGTTTTTTGATAATAAATTCTTTAATGTTTACAAAATTATTCAGATTTTCTCATATAAATTTTGGTGAGTTGTATCATTAAGGAATTTGTATATTTCTTTATGTTATGAAATTTGGTGATATAGCATTTTTCATATTTTCTTAAATCTTTTTAAAAGTATGTAGGATTTTTAAATCCTACTGATTTCAAAAATTTGCCTTTTGTCCTTCCTTTTTTTTTCGGTCATCATCCTATCTGCAGATTGATCAAATTTGTGGATGTTTTCAAAGAAAAAAATTGGAGTTTATTTATTTTCACTATTTTAATTTGTTTCATTAATTTTTTAAAGAAATTATTCTTTCTAGTTTATTTTGATCATGAATATATTCTATTTTTTCTATATATTCAAAGTTATGGCCTTCTCTCTGAGCACATTTTTTATGTGCCCTCAGCCCCGCCACCCGTGGGAAGTGTCTACCTTCTCGCCCATTCTATTCTCGCTGTGTCCTCCTCCTTTTTTTCCTGGTAATATAATCTTATACTGCAGCACTGACAGTGGCAGAGTTTCCTTATTCTCCCTCATGGGTGGAATATTCTCCTTTACACTACTCAATTTACTCAGTACATAGCTCTTATTTCACTGCTAATACTACTTGTTTTTGTACTGTTTGCATTATTTTAAACCCTATTTCCCAGGTTAAAATGGTTTACAGCTAGATGTCCCCCAAGAACCTGTGCTACGAGGCGGGGCCTTGGGAAGTGACGGAGTTATAGGGTGCCTAGTTGATGTGTTCTTAGGAGGCGGGGCCTGGTTGGAGGGCGCAGTTGGCAGGGCGTGGCCTCATAGGTTTATCTCCTTTCAGTTCCTCTCCTTCCCCTCTGTCTCTGTCCTGCGGGAGGGGGTGAGCTGCTCCCCTCTTCCATTCTTCTTGGCTGTGCTGCCCTGCCTCAGAGCCAGCCAACTCTGGACTGGAACCTCTATGATCTGTGAGCTAAATAAGCATCTTTCTTTAAGTTGTGGGTGTCTGTCCCAGTGACAAAGAGAATAACTAAGGCAGGATGTTAGCATGTTGCATCCCTGAAATATATTAACATAAATAAATTTTTCATGAAATAATTAACACATAAATTTAATAAGATTGTAGAGCTGAGAAAGATGAAGGTGAATCGTTAATCTGGAAAGAGAGTGACAAAGAAAGGAAAGAAGGAAAGGAATAAAGGAAGAAAAGATGTTAAAAGTTCAATTTGCATTTCAGAAAATGCTGAGTAAATTCTTATATATTTTCCAAAGCTTAGAATTTTTAGTAGAGAAGAACATAATCTGTTTTTTAAATTTTTTTTCAACAGCAAATAGAGCGCATCGCATTTCCCTTCCCAATTATCTTCCGGATATTATGCAGGTCCTGGGGCTGGGGACTTGACTAAGACATGGTCTGTTACAGCATGGTGCTGGTAGCTCAATAACAGATGAAGGCTTCTTGGCAGATAATTGAAGAATAATGTGATAAATGCAGTAGACAAGATCACATCAGCCAGTGTATTCTACTTAAGAAACCACCCAAATTTTAGCAGTTGAATCAGCAACCTCATATTTGCTCACAATTCTGTGGGTGCCTGGTTGGCTGTTGGGGTTTGGCCCCAGATGGCCTCCCCTGAAACCACACTGTACGCAGGAGGGGCTGGTGACCTGATGTTCTGGTGAACCTCCCTCTGCTGGGGAATACGGGCCGATGAGCTCAACCATGACTTCCACAGGGAGGAAGCAGGAGCCAAGAGAGAAGGATGAACCCTTTAAGCTTCCACTTAAGTCAAGTTTGCTAATGTCCGATTTGCTGAAGGAAGAAGCTACATCCAATTATAGGACACAGAACTATGTAAGAAAGTCACACTCTCAATTGCAGGTGAAAAGACGCTTCCAAGGGTCATGAAAACCATGACGGGACTTTACCGGCCAACCTGAAATCTGGCTTGTCCCACTCTCACCACAAAAGACCATGCATGACCCCTCCCACATCCCACATTCCACATGAGAACGTCCTCTCCTGAGATTAGCAAAATTCTTATAAAACCATGGAGTCAAGCACAAAAAGTCCATGACCTCATGATCTAAATCATGGGATCTCCGTTCAGCTACTCTTGGCCAGAATATATATGCTAAAAGCATATGTATGTTATCAGACTCCCAATTCACTCAAAATATAATATTCAGACAGAGACCAAGTCGCCGCAATCTACACTCCTATTCAAAAAGACAGAACAGAAGAACCATAATAATCATTGGTCTATAACAGTTCTGAAATCTGACAGTGCAAATGCTGCCTAGAATCCTACACCAAAGACTAAAAACGCTACCTGATTAGGACTCTGCTCTGCTCACCAGTGGAATCCTAGACATTTTCCAGCATGATCTTCCTGCACTCTCTGGACCACTGTCTTCTCCCTCTGAAGCACTCTTCTTTTTCTGTAAAATGTAAGTGGCTCGGGTTAGCCATTGAGTAGGTTTCTGTCTGCTTTGGATGGAAAATCATTACTCCAGAGGCCTCCTTTTCATTTGAACTGTGTCAGGGTCTATCAAGCTCAGTTAGCAGCCCTTTCCTGACACGATCCCCTCGAAGAGCTTGTGTGTTTCGCACAGGTCATTGAGGGACATTACACCCACGTTTGTCTCCTAGGCTGACTTCACTCTACTTTGGACAGCTTTTGAGCTGCTTTGAGGCAATGCTGCCAAGAATCTTAGAAGTCCTTTTGACTGGATGAGACAGCCCACAAGACTCATCTTAAATTTTTCAGATCATTACAAAGGTGCTGATAATTGTGCCCTTAATCTGATCCTCATGCAGGGGCCCTGTTTCACTAGAAATGAGCTAGACTTGATCGACACTCAAATTTTCAGCTTGCATGAGCATCTCTTCCCGGGTAGAGAGACTGCAATGACAGTTGTATTTCAAATATGCCCCAGCTTCTCTGTATTCTGTGTAAATTCTGTTTGCATACTGATCACTTATTTCTTTAGTTGACATCTTTCTTTATAATATGTCATAGACAACTAAAAGAAGCTAATAATATGTTAAACGATCTTATGGAAAATTATCTTGTCAAGGTCGTACTTTTAATCACCCAAATCGCTGCAGGCAACAGTTTTACCAATTGCTCCACAATGTAACATAATATGTATCATAGTCTGTTTTCATCCTCAACCAACAGCTTGCTAATTTTCCAGACTTCACAAAATTCTAGCCACTAAGGTTGCTAACACTAATTCCGCATATTTTGTTTTATTTGTTTCAGTATTATCAACCCTCTGCAGATAACATTCTCTCTGGAAGATTTGCTGCAAACCAAATCACTCACAAATTAGTCACTCTAAACAACCGTCCTTTCTTTCGCTCCAAGAACTACTAATTTTGGCTGGTTCAGCTGGCTGAGCCAATTCGCTGGATGCCCTCATGCATCCCTTACAGTTGGCCAGTGCACGAATCATTGCAGTTGACTTATCACTTAAATGACCTTAACAGTTGTCAGGGGCATAGCTCTCACAAATAACAGCAGGTGCCAATAGCAGGAAGAGAGCAAGCCCTGCTGTGATCTCCAGATGTTTCTATTGAGCTTGCTGATGTTGCATGGGCCAGTAAGTCATGCAGGCAGCCAAGAGTCAGTGTGGGAAGACTCCGGCAAAGGAAACAGGTACAGGATAATACATTAGCTAGCCATTTTTGCAAACATCTACCACACACTGTGCAAAGACTGCAAGTCGAAAGGAAAGAAGCTGATTGCCTAGCACAGTATGGCCAAATACAAACCACGTACGGTTTCAGAGCACACGTCCTGAGACTGAAGCTCAAAGAAATGAAGTGTAGCACAATCAGCCAGAGCCGGCCTGGTTGTCCGATCACTCAAGCTAATGGGCCACAGACCACAGCTCGTGTGCACAATGGATCAGAGGCACGTAGGTCAGACGGCAGCTTCCTGCCCAGGCTATGGTCAGCCTCACTCGTCCACAAATTCTACTCATGATGCATCCTAGAGAGAAGGGTGACAACTCCAGCAGCCACTTTTCTGAGGGATTTTTTTGGTTGACCACTTTTATGTGCAGTGCAGGCTCTTAGCCTATGATCTCCTGAGTTTCCTCCACTCAATGGTCATATAGTCATGGGACCTCTCCCTTCCTCATCTGGACTCATCTGAAGGAACTGGCCTCTTCTGCTACCACATCTTCATGATGAAAAACAAGCCTTGATGTGAGAAGTCCTGCGCCCCTACCTAAAAATCTGAGAGAGCCCCTGCCTGCTGTTGTCAGAATTTCTACTGAGACTTTGCTAAGCATCATCTCACACCTAATTGTGTGTGTTTATGAGCAGCCTGCTAGGACAGCGCCCTTTGGAACATACATTCACATGTGTTGAATGAAAACAAAACCTGAGAAATGAATGAATAATAGGCATTTTAGGGGTCAGGCCCTATAACACTCTGAACTGTGAGGCTTCAACCAAAAAAATGTTGAACTCTAGGATACACTGGAGAGATGAGGGGAATAGGAGTCCTGGCGTGGGTTTCACCAGAGGAAACGTATATGTATATGTGTGTGTGTGTAAAATTCCCAGCCAACACTAGATTACACATTTGCTTAATTTCACTGCTTAAGATTTACTTTTCTATCAGTTTAACAAGAAAAACCGTTTAAAATAAAGATCATTTCTAGAGGCTGCCATAAGTTATATTGTTTCTAAATCAAAAGATGGCAAATGAGAAAAAAAATGAGTAATTCATTTGATGCTTTAAAAAATGTGAATTTTGTGAATTGTCTGACAACATAGTAAGTTTATAAAAAAAGAGTAATATAACTATAAATTCAATGGATATGTATTGTTTGGATGTGAAGATTATGAACACAACATCATCCAAGCTTTGTAGAAGTTCATGTTCCAGTTCAAGATGAGATTTGAAAATACTCTACATCAAGAAGTGCTACAGGCTGTGGCAGAGAGAGCCCAGCACATGCACGGAGTATGTGAGGAACAGCACTTGAGCGCATTAGAACCCTGGAGAGCTGAACATAAATGTCAGGCTCAAGTCCCCCTGGACTATGCCATCACACCATTTTGGCATAAGGAACTTTAGAAACAACTCTGAAAGATATCAGATTATTCTACCACAGACTCAGGTCTGAAAAATCCCTCCTAAAAAGAGAGCTTGATGCTAAGCCAAGCCACCATAGGGTTTAGAAGCTCTAGAAAGTGCTCACTGCACATGCAGAACTCTGGAGCTCTAAAAGCACATGATGGGTTTAGCAGCCCCAAGGAGATAAGACGCACTATACAGCTGATTTGGGTGGGAGCTGATGGGCAGTGATAAGAAAGGTTAGTCAGACAGGAAGGAGTCTAAGCAGAAAGGGCCCCAGGCTCTGTGCAGATTTCAGATTTAACCCTCTAACTGCTGAAGAGCCAGCGCAGGACCCCGAGCAGCGCTGTGATACCGCCACGTGTGTGCGTCAGAGCAACCGGGAACACGGGTCACACGGAAGCAAGCATGAAGGGAGGAGCTCTCCAAGAGAGTCGGTTACAGAGGACCACACAGAGACAACGGGGCCTAAAACCAGCCAGCAGAAGCAGGAATGGAGAAGAAATGGGAAAGACGAAAACTATAGAGCAGGAAATGTGGCTCGGTGGAAAGAGCAGCCTTTGGAGACTTTGCAAACCACTTTTCGTGTGTAGCGGATCAGCCAAGGAAATCACTCGTGTGGCGTAGACCCAAGTGGTGCCTCAGTGAGGAGTCCTTGTTGGTGTGCGGGCAGAGCAGGCCGGGGTGGAGCCAGATCCGAGAAGGGGCAAGGGAGAAATAGGGTGTTTCCGAGCGGAGAGAGCCCGGCTTCTGAGAGTGTAAAGCACTGGCTGAGGTGCACTGGGGAACGGTGGCCGGTGGACGATGTCGACGACGAGGTGGCGAAAGAGGGACAAAGCCGCTAAGGGTATGAGATTACCTGTGGACCGGCCAGCTGCCGACATCTGGGCGAGTACATACCTGAAGCCAGAGCACGAGTAAATATTCAGGGCACGAAGACCAAACAGGGGCGTCAGAACCTTGAATTGGGCTTTAACAGCATCAACACCGTTACCATCTTCATCCTCACGACTTAACCGTCGATATGGGTAATGTTTACTTTTTTTTTTCTTATTGAGTTTATGGGTACATTTTAGGTCTACAGCACAGTTACATTCATCATTGGGATCTTGTTCCTTTACATGACAGGTCTTGGTTCTCATTTTTTCCCCTTGTCCCTGCCCTCCCTTCAGGTAATGTTTATACCTGTGTCAGGCCACTGAGCAATCTACCTTCATCACCCAGTGCAGCCAACCAACACCCGCATAATGTAAACTGTTGCAAGGGACAGCCCTGAAACTTACAGCTTTACCCAGCTATTCCTGTATCAACATGTGAGTGATCACCTAAAGTTTATCTCATAAAATAATTAATAAAATGTATGTAACTTCTTACTTGCAGTCAACCAGTGGGGAATGAGGCATCACCCACGGATCCAAGACTTCCTAGGGAACTGGTGTCTGATTGTCCTTCTCTGGGAAAGATACCTGAAGATGTACCCTGAGTCCATGACCCATTTGTAGCCCAGCAGGTCCCAGAAACAAGCTCTCTGCACAGCCAGTCGGAATCAGTGGTGGTCCTCCCCGAGTAATGTTTACCCCTGTGTCAGGCCACTGAGCAATCTACCTTCATCACCCAGTGCAGCCAACCAACACCCGCATAATGTAAACTGTTGCAAGGGACAGCCCTGAAACTTACAGCTTTACCCAGCTATTCCTGTATCAACATGTGAGTGATCACCTAAAGTTTATCTCATAAAATAATTAATAAAATGTATGTAACTTCTTACTTGCAGTCAACCAGTGGGGAATGAGGCATCACCCACGGATCCAAGACTTCCTAGGGAACTGGTGTCTGATTGTCCTTCTCTGGGAAAGATACCTGAAGATGTACCCTGAGTCCATGACCCATTTGTAGCCCAGCAGGTCCCAGAAACAAGCTCTCTGCACAGCCAGTCGGAATCAGTGGTGGTCCTCCCCGAGCTGTGTCTCTCCTGCTGCCTACCAAGTCATGCCATTCCCGGTCCTTTCTGAAAATGCCTCCATTGAACAGTTCTTACCTTTGGAAATTTCAGTATGAGAATTAAGTTTCTTGACTAAAAAATGCTGAGGTATTTTTATGGAAGAAAAATCAACATGGGGCTCCAGTTGATATCAGGATATTAGATTTTCACTGCTACCTCATAGTGTATAAATATATGTAGACATGCTCAAATAAATGTGTATCTAAGAATTAAAAAAAAAACTCTTCACCCCCTCAATAAAAGGTAAGCTAAAAAGGAGAGAGGATAAGAGGGTAAGGGCCAAAGGAGGAAGAGAGATAGAGGGGAGAGGTAGAAAAGGTAGGAAAAAGAAGAGGGAGAGG